AAGCAGCTCTGGCTCCTGGCCTTCGAGCGAGCTTCCGCCTCGGCGCCCCCCTCCCGAGGCTACACAAATAGCTGTTGTGACTCCCAGTCATGTGCGCTCCGACGCCCGGCTCGGTTTTTTTTTCTATATATTTTTAGTTGGTCAGGCTCATTTCTGTTCTATTTTTTTGTAGAGACGGGGTCATCGCTCCTTGCTCAGGCTGCCTCCAACTCCTGACCTCGAGCCTAGCCTCCCTCGCTCGGCCTCCGCATAGTCCTAGGACTACAGGCGTGGGCACGACCAAGGCCCGGCTAATTTTTTCTCTCCTCTTATATATTTTTATAGTTGGTCCATTAATTTCTCTATTTTTAGTAGAGACGGTCCGGTTCTCGCTCTTGTCAGGCTCGGCCTCCACACTCACTGACCTCGACAGCTGATCCTCCCTGTCCTCGGGGCACTCCCAGAGTGCTGGGACGGTGGACACGGCGTGCAGTGCCTCACGCCCGTTGGGACCCCTGGTTTCTCCACCAAGAGATGGTCCGTTTGTCCTTAGCATCTCCTACCAGAAACTGCCAACCGGTACCACCGGAGTGGCGACGGTGTTTGTGCCAATGTTGTTCATCAGGGAGGTCGCGCAAAGCACTCAAAACATGGCCGGGCGCGGAGGGCCCACGCCGTAGTTCCCAGCCACTCAGGAGCCGAGGTGGAGATCGCTCGGAAGTCAGGATGGTCGGAGGCCGGCCCGAGCAAACCCCGAGAGATCCCAGCCCGGCCCCCCAGGGTAGAGGCCAGCGTTTGTGTGTGTTCTTTTTTGTTGGTTGTATATGTATGTTGTGTGTGTGAGGCTCTTGTTCTGTGTTCAGCCTGTGTTGTCGGGTATGTCGGTTGTGTGGGTCTTTGTGTGTGAATCGTAAAAACCGTGTCTTGTTGTGTTTGTTGTCTGGCCTTGTGTGATGTTTCAGCCGGCTCCACAGTTTCCTGGTACGTTGGAGGAGCCATCTTGTGTCTCCTTTGTTGTGTTTGTGTTGTGTGTGTGTTAATGCTGTCACCATCAACAGACGCGAACAGTGAAGGCGGAAGTTCTCTTGTGGTTTGTTTCCTTTCCGAAAACCTCCCTTCTGTCCTTCCTTTGCTTGGTTGTGTTGTGTGTTTGTTGTTGTGGTGTGTGTGTGTTGTGTGTGTGTGTGTTTTTTGTGTAGCGGCCATGTGGGCGTTTTGTTCCATGTGGTTGTTGTGTGTTGTGTGACTTTCTCCCCTTCAGCATTTCTGTAACCACACACCTCTTTCCTCCACTGCGTCGTGCTCTCCTCGCCATGTGATACCCCTGTGGGCCACCTCCTGGTTGTATCGGCCTCTGCAGGGTGGTGCTTTAAAAGAACAAAAACCATTTCCTAGCTAGGGGACTAAGGAAATCCACAGAGGAAAGAATGGCAGATTGTGGTTGCCGGAGGCGTCGGGAAAGGAATCGCAGGCGTGTCTTGGGAGGGACAGTGAGGTTGACTAGGTAGGCCATGGCTGGATGACTAGAGCTTGAGTCGTTGTCTCGGCCCGGTCGGTATCTCTACATGTAAAAAACTAGAGGATAATAGAAATGTAGCTGCCATCTGAAGAAATACTCACTGTATTTTTAAAGAAAAAAAACAGTAGAAAAGCATTTAAAATATTAAAAATTAAAACTAAGGTAAATGGAATTGCACGAAACATTTCGCGAGTAAATTGTGATCAACTAAATGCTCTCAACTAAATGGTAAATTTTATGTATTGTGTATTTAAAATAATATATTTTAATATTACTACCATCGAAAACCAAAATACAACTCAAAAACACTTCTCTGGGCCTTCCCTAGATTCCCGTTAGGAGTTTTATCTTACTCTATCTCTTCTACAAACTAACAACATTTTGAATATTTCACAACACACTACTATCACACATCAACATCGATCACAGAGCTTCCTTCTCTTTCCATGTCTAACAGACGCGACACAGTGAAGGCGGGAAGTTCTCCGGGCCTTGATTTCTTCCTTCCGAAAACCTCCACCTTTCTGCCTCCCTTTGCTGCCGGGAGTCGCAGTGACGCGTGTGCGCATGCGTGTGTGCGTGTGTGCGTGTGTGCACAGGTGCGTGTGTGCCCATGTGGGTTTGCGTGTCCATGAGTCCGTGTGTGTGAGGCTCACGCCTGTCGTCCCGGCACTCTGGGAGGCCGAGGCGGGAGGCTCGCTCGAGGTCAGGAGGTTGAGGCCAGCCTGAGCAAGAGCATGAGACCCCGTCTCTACTAAACATAAGAAGAAATTAATTGGCCAAATAAAAATATATAGAAAAAAACGAGCCGGGCGTGGAGGCGCATGCCTGTCGTCCCAGCTACTTGGGAGGCCGAGGCAGGAGGATCAAATTAATGAGGCCAGGAGTTGGAGGCCAGCCTGAGCAAGAGCGAGACCCCGTCTCTACCAAAAATTGAAAGAAATGATCTGGACAACTAGAAATATGTAGAAAGAATGAGCCGTGACAGGACTCCCGCGACCCCGGGGGCCAGGTGTGCACAGAGAGGGACAAACGCGACTCTTACTTGACCGCGGTCTCCATTTTCGAGGCCGCCTCGTGGAACTGCTGGGAGGACACTTTGTACATCTCGGCATTCTGTGAAAAAAAAATAAATAATAAAGATAAAGTGGAACTGGTTACCCAAGACCGCGACCGCCCCGTGGCTCCCTGGTGACACGCCACCACGCCGGAAATCGGCGGACGCTGATTTTGTCACCAGCATGGAAGAAGATTCTAGATCAGACTAGGGTGTGAATGGTTGTAATGGAGACTAGGTAGCCCGGGAAGCCTCAAGTATCTGTTATTTGTCATTTCTTTGTTTGTTTTGAGACAGAGTCTCGCTCTGTCGCCCGGGCTGGAGTGAGCGCCGTGGCGTCAGCCTCGCTCACAGCAGCCTCCAACTCCTGGCCTCCAGCGAGCCTCCTGCCTCAGCCTCCCTCCCGAGCAGCTGGGACGACAGGCATGTGCCTCCACGCCCGGCTCATTTTTTTTTTTCCTATATATTTTTAGTTGTCCAGCTCATTTCTTTCTTCTTTTTTTTTACTAGGGACGGGGTCTCGCTCTTGCTCAGGCTGGCCTCCAACTCCTGACCTCGAACGATCCTCCCGCCTCGGCCTCCCAGAGTGCCGGGATGACAGGCGTGGGCCTCCGCGCCCGGCTGGAGTCCTGGTTCGTAACTGCAACCAGGGCGTGGCCAACCTTACCGAGGGTGGCGGTGGGTCGGAGGGGCTGAGCGACAGCCTGTCGCGGGCACCCATAGCGACTGTCACCAGGGCCACGTAGACTCTCGCCTTATCCTAAATTCCCAGTCCGGCTGATGCTGGTCTACTTATTTCCTGGCTCAGAGAATAACCTCCCAGGCCGGGCGCGGAGGCTCACGCCCGTCATCCCAGCTACTTGGGAGGCCGAGGCGGGAGGATCGCTCGAGGTCAGGAGTTGGAGGCCAGCCTGAGCAACAGCGAGACCCCGTCTCTACTAAAAAAAAATAGAAAAAAATTAATTGGGCAACTAAACATAATGGGAAAAATGAGCCGGGCGTGGTGGCGCACGCCTGTAGTCCCAGCTACTCGGGAGGGAGGCCGAGGCGGGAGGATCGCTCGAGGTCGGGAGTTGGAGGCTGATGTTGAATTGCTGTCATCGAGGCTGAGGCCACCTGGGTGACAGAGCGAGACTCTGTGTCCAAAAATAAAAAATAAAAAAAAAAAAAAAAAAGGAAAAGGAAACAACCTTGGGTGTCAAGTCTCTCCGCCCTCCAGAATCCTCCAGCGCTGGGTTCCTCTGGGTGTCCCCCGTTGTCCCAGGGCCAGCCCGGGGGGGGGGTCCCCGCCCGCTGTAGGCCGGCGGGACACGGCAGTGACAGTGACAACATTGTCACTCTCGGCACTCGGGACCGGCGGGAGACCGTGCGGCTCCACTGAGCCCCGTGGTGACTCGGCGCGACCCGGGTGACAATCTCAGCTCCGGCCCCCGGAGACCTGCGGCCGGGCGCGGGGGCGGCCGCCCTGTCCCAGCCCCAGGGGCGGCGGGGACCTCCCCGTCCCCGCTTCCTCTGTGGCTTCCCTCGGAGCGACTCAGAGGCATTTGCCCGCCCTGCCGGGGTGGCCGGAGCAGGCGGACCGTCGGGGACAGAGTTTGTCACCGGTCGGGCCACCAGAGTCCGACTTCCGAGGAGCGCAGTGCCCGGCGTGGACGACCGCGCCGCCCGCCGCCCTCCGTCCGGCCTTCTAGAAGGCTACAGGTGCCACCGAGGGGTCGCAGGACACACGCCGGGGTCCACGCGGCCCGGAGCGCCCCTGGCTCTCAGGTGACACAAAATGTGACAGCGCGCAATGTCACCTGCCACCGGCCAGGCCAGGCGCTGAGAGGGGTCACCCTGGCTCCCCTTCTGCCGAGCCCCGAATTTATGGACGTCTGACACAAGAGTGCCGCTCTGTCGCCCGGGGTTAGGGTGAGCGCCGGGGCGTCAGCCTCCGACTCCCGGCCTCGAGCGGGCCTCCCGCCTCGGCCTCCCTCAAGAGGAGCTGGGACACGACAGGCGTGCGCCACCACGCCCGGCTCGTTTTTTTCTATATTTTTTTGAGTTCTTCAATTAATTTCTTTCTATTTTTAGTAGAGACGGGGTCTCGCTCTTGCTAATCAGGCTGGCCTCCAACTCCTGGCCTCCAGCGAGCCTCCCGCCTCGGCCTCCCTCCCGAGTAGCTGGGACAACAGGCATGCGCCACCACGCCCGGCTCGTTTTTTCTATATATTATTAGTTGGGCAATTAATTTCTATTTTTAGTAAAGACTCGGTGACACTCTTGCTAATCAGGCTGGCCTCCAACTCCTGACCTCGACAGCGATCCTCCTGCCTCGGCCTCCTCCCAGAGTGCCGGGAAGACGGGCGTGAGCCTCCGCGCCCGGCCATGTCATGCCCTGTTTCTGATTGCCCCTGGCTGCCGCCGTGTCACCTGCTGATTAGAGTTCCGGGGAAAGTGGCTTTAGGTGACAGTTTCCCAGAATGCTCTGCATGGGTGAAAAGGCAGAGAGCAAAGACGGCTTGCATGCGTGTGCACATGTATGTGCAAACACACACATGTGCACGCTTGGCATGCAGCAAAGCAACCGATAAATGCAAAGCTCTGCTGATGAGTGACAGCTGCACACGCGCCCGGCGTCCCGGCGCTCTGGGAGGCCGAGGCGGGAGGCTCCCTCGAGGCCAGGAGTTGGAGGCCAGCCTGAGCCAGAGCGAGGCCCCGTCTCTACTAAAAAAAAAATTAATTGGGCGACTAAAAATATATAGAAAAAACGAGCCGGGCGTGGAGGCGCATGCCTGTCGTCCCAGCTACTCGGGAGGGAGGCCGAGGCGGGAGGCCCGCTGGAGGCCAGGAGTTGGAGGCTGCCGTGAGCGAGGCTGACGCCACGGCGCTCACTCCAGCCCGGGCGATAGAGCGAGACTGTGACTCAAAAACAAAACTGTCTCCGTCACCGACTGTCCCACGTCCCCACTCGGGTAATCGAGGCCGGTCCTGCCCCCCTAGAGGTTGAGGCCCGAGACAACGCGTCTTGGGCGAGACCACGCCGACCCCTCCGCGCCAGCTGATCTGATGTCACCAAAGCAGGGTGACTTGTCCCCGGGGCTGAGACGCTGAGCCGCTGACGACCAGATTTTTTTTTTTTTTTTGGAGGAAGCAGATTTTAAATATATTTTATTTGGCCAATTAATTTCTTTCTATTTTTTTAGTAGAGACGGGGTCTCGCTCTTGCTCAGGCTGGCCTCCGACTGACTCCTGACCTCGAGCGATCCTCCTGCCTCGCCTCCCAGAGTGCTGGGATGACAGGCCTGAGCCTCCGCGCCCGGCCACCTTCCTTCTTAATGGCTCTCAGAGGGATCTCTTCCTCGCACTAACTCACTGTCCCCTCCGGCAATTCCTGTCACCTGTCCGGGTCCCAGCAAAACGAGGCCGTTAGCTCACGTTGCTTGCAAACTTCTTTCCAGCTTCCAAGCCGGGCGTGGAGGCGCGTGCCTGGTCGACCCAGCTACTCGGGAGGAGGCCGAGGCGGGAGCTCGCTGAGGCCAGGAGTCGGAGGCTGCTGTGAGCGAGGCTGAGGCCACGCACTCACTCCAGCCCGGCAGACAGAGCGAGACTCTGTCTCAAAAAAAAAAAAAAATTAAAAAACAAAAAAGAAAGGACTGGAGGGGTGACAGTCACAGAGCTTGGGTCCCCGCTGTCCGGACCCCCAGCTCGCCGT